TGAATAACTCACAACCAGAATATGGACACAGATTTTTACATAGTTTGGAGGTCGGGCTCCTACATCCACGGAAATGATGAAATCTCCATGAGATGTGAAAGAAGTACAAAAGCCCTCAAGAACTTAGGGAATGAATCTTTAATCTTGGCCCTCAAATGAACTCATCAGTCACTCACCAACCTAACAGAGATCTCCTTTTGAGACTCACGCTCTATGGGGGGCACTTACTGCTTGCCATGTTTCATCATACTTGCCCACTTGGCAGTGGTACAAAAACCATCCCCATCTCAGCAGTGACCGCGCTTCCACTTCCACTTTCTGTCCCCCACCCTTCTCTCTCTCTCTCTCTCTCTCTCTCTCTCTCTCTATATATATATATATATATATATATATATGGAGATATTCCCTGTCTCTAACTTATTCACATTATTTGTTCGAACCCAGGAATCCTTGCGTCAGTCAACTACCAGGGCATGGGCTGATGGTGAAACTAATTTCAAGAAAATAATAACTAAGATACATGATGATTTCCGGTGAAATTATTTCTATGTGACGCTTGCAACGATGTATTAATTCAGATGCACGAATCCTGCTATTGATGTACTTCGATATTTTTCTCCCCCAGTACCAGTACTCAACCACGACGTCCATAGCTGGTGATCACTCCGGGTGGGTTGCTGATGAAATGACAGAGCTGCGGATGCCCTCCTGTTCGCCGTCATCTACGAACCTGTGGTAAGCGGCGGCGGCGGGGGCAGCAGCGGGCGGCGCTACTCACGGCGGGAGGAGATGCGCGCGCGCAGGGGGTTCCTCATTACCACCGTGAACTCGGTTTTCTCCGACAGATCGACCTCGCCGCCGTCGGCCGCCTCCCATCGGAACTCCCCCACCAGGTTTGCCACGAAGTACTCCAAATGGAGCAGCGCGAGGCCCATCCCGGGGCAGATCCTCCGTCCCACGCCGAACGGCATCATCCGGATCTCCTTACTGCCGGTGAGGTCCACTTCCTCGCCCTCGCCGCCGGGAAGGAACCTTTCCGGCCGGAATTCTAGCGGATCCGGCCACTTTTCCCCGTCGAGGCTCATCCTCGTCACCGCGAAGTTTACCCTGGCGTCCTTGGAGATGGTGTACCCGCCCAGAGAGATCTCCTCCGTGACGGCGTGGGTAACCACAAACTGAGCGGGCGGGTGGCGGCGGAGCCCCTCCAGGACCACGGCTTTCAGGTACGGTTTCTTCTGCAGGTCCTCCTCCTTGGTCTCCGCGCCGACTTCCTCCGCCAGTTTTTCCTGCACGGTAGGGTGCTTGACGACGTTCGCCATGATCCACTCCAGCGCCGTGGAGGTGGTATCGGTGCCGCCGTCGAGGAACTCGGCGCAGAGAGCGATGATCTCCTCGTCGTTGAGCTTCCTCCCGTGCTCATCCGGAATCTCGAGGTCCAGGAGAGAATCCAAGTAGGAGAAGCGGAAGCTGTTCTCCCCAGGGACCTTAGATTCCTTCTGTTGGCGCCGAGATCTGATAAGAGGGAGGAAGATCTCCTTTCGCCGCTGCCGGAACTGGAGGAGGCGGTTCCACCTCCCCCTGAATAAATACCTACCGAGTTTTGGGGCAATTGCGAAGATATTGAGCTTACGAACGAAGCGTAAAAATTCCCTCTCTGCGGCTTCAATCTCTCTCACGGCCGCCTCCTCGAGCTTTTCTCCGAAGCACAGGAAGACCAGCAAACAGAACATGGCGAATTGGAATGTCTCCTTGACGACCACAACGCCGTCCCCCGACGCCGCCGTGAGGCGGAGCTTGTTGATGAGGTCGCGCAGGACCCAATCGCGAGCATCGGCGCACTGCCTGACGCGCGAAGGGTTCAGCATCCCCGTCACGAGGTTGCGGCGAAGAAGCCGCCACAGAGGGCCGTAACCGGTGGAATTGATTGTGCACTGGCTGGAACCTGGTGTGCGGAGGGAAGGGTTGGGGGAAGGTCGATCGGCGAAGACGGCCCCGTGCTGGACGAGCATCTCGTGGGCGAGATCCCGATCGCCGACTATGACCAACGGGATGGAGCCGAGGTGGATCGTCACGACGGGGCCGTACTTGGAGCAGAGATCCCGGAAGACGAACTCTAAGTCGGCCACGGAGCGGGTTAGCCACATCAGATTGCCGAGGATGGGGACGGCCGGCGGGCCCGGCGGCAAACTCCCGCGCGACCGCCGGAGGAGGAGGAGGGCGGACAGGGCCAGGCAGAGGAAGAGGGTGAGGCCGCCAACGCCCCAGGTTTCCATTTCCGCTGCACTTCGAGGAAGCCCCAAAAAGACTAAGGGGCTATTCACAATTTATAGGGATGACCAGACCACCCTGCCGCCACCCATCAAGACTCATGGCGAGCTACGAGCCAAATTCCACCGCGCAAATACGTTTGAGCGATAGCTCACAGCTCTACGCTATCGAATCGAGATCTTTCTCGGTTGCTTGGAGAAGGTTCATGTCTTCCTGCCCACGCCAAGCGGCCAAGAAGAGCCCACGTAACGAAGATCATGCCTTCCTGCACTGGGCTCCAACTTCGGGCCCATACAGGCTTAAGGCCCAGGCCCAAAAATATGCACACGGCCCATCAAGGCACCATGAAAAAATGGAGTGGCCTGCTAAGGCCCATCGGCTCTACCGATAAATACTTGCGGAGAGAGATCTGTTCTTGGCGGTACCGCTCAGTGCAGAAAAGCATGTCCCCTGTATACATGAAGACTGCGTATAACTGCCCATATATCCTCCAGAAGAGGTAACAAGACGTTGTCGGATAGTATTTATTTACAAAGAAGGTTTGGTCTCATCCTCTCCCTCGGCAGGGTTTGCTAGTTACCATGTCCTAGGTGCAAGTAACAGGATCATGGGAATCGAAACAGAACATACTAAATGACCTCATGATTCTATTGAAACGCCTGTGATCATCCTCAGCTCAACTATAACTGAAATCTCAAGCTCTCAAGAAAACCTTTCTAACAGTTCAATCATTATAATTAAGCAACCAGATTTGTGTCTTCAAAGATATATGAAAAAATAGAAAATTAGCAATAAACAAGGTTGTTTAATCAAGTCTAAGTAAATGCTGAAACTATAATACAATTTTAATGACATCTTCCCAGCAATGATCTTTTAAATAAGTTCTTATAAAGCCCAATCAATGTTTGATGATCATTTGTTATTTAGCTTGGGCTTTAGTATGGGCCTGTGAAGTAAGTACTTCCCCTAAGGTTAGGGGCGAGGAACGTCTAGTCCATGCGAAGCCCTCTAAGTCAATCAATAATCCACAAAAAGAGGCTGTCCATGGCATCATCAAATTGAAAGCTAAGTTGACCTATGACTAAGAGAGGCATAGGGGGGGGAGAGAGAGAGAGTATATTGAACCAAGGGGAATTAACTTAACTAATCCTAATATGTTATCCACCTGGCCCTAAAAGGAAAGCCTGTTGAGGGGGCCTAGAGATAGATTTTACTAGTCACAAGGCCTAGACTTTGATACAGAAATGTTGTTTCCCATGCCTAGTAAATAGCTTGTATCAAGAGCACAGAGTTGGATACAGAATGTCAATGAATTTTAGTTAGGAATAATCAGCAAAGATAAATTATGCTATATCTATTGCAGAAAGAATTAGAGAATCATTTCCATAGGTCAAGGGATGATGATTTTTGTTCTGAAAAATTGGATGAGGATAACTAGAGTTCCAAATGTATGCCAACCGTGATGCTTAATGGTCGGTCCAACCGTGATACATACAATTAGAGTTCGGATGCAGTTGGGCCTAATATGGTTTTGGGAAATTTTTCAGTCCCCTCATCTTCACAACCCACTTACAAAGCTGCTTGTTCTCCAGTCTTACCTGTCATGGATTGCGAAGGAGGATGAAAACATGGAGGGGGGAGGAGGAGGATGAGGATGGCAAGTTGGAGAACGAGAAGATGAGGATGATGAGGACGACAAGGTGGAGTACTAGGAAAAGGAGGAACAGGGAGAGGGGCAAGGATGAGGGGGAGGACGAGGAGCACGAGGAAGAGTAGGACAAAGAGGACCAGGTCAAGGATGTGGTAATCAACTCAGGGAAAGGAGTAATCTTTGTTACTTGGTGATAGTCTTGTAAATAGATAGAACAATTCTTCCAATGTTTCCTTTTAGAGGGTTCAAGGATTCATTAGTTTAAAAGAGATGAAATTGTTAGAGTAAAAATGTCCAATATAGACTTATGAAAACTATGAAAGAAAGGAAACAAGGAACGAACAACTCACGACCAAGAGACGTAAGATTTTACGTGGTTCGGAAGTTGGCCTCCTACCTCCACGGGCAAAACATTGAAAGTTTCACTAGAAGTGAACGAAGTATAGAAGAACTCTCTCCAAGAACTCAGAGATGGAATCTCTGATCTTGGCCCTCAAATAAACTCACCAATCACTCACCAACCCAACATAGATCTCCCTTTGAGAGAAATAGAGAAATGAATCCTATTAGTGGTATGAAATAACTTTGCTTTAGAGATCCTAAGCTCCATGGGGTACGTATAGTATGCCGTGTTTCATCATATTTGCCTGCTTGGTGGTGGTACAAAAGCCACCCCAATCTCAGCCAGCGAGCTCGCTTTCTTTTTATATTTCTCCCTTTCTTACCTCTCTCACTCTATGTCAATATATTCACATCTCAATAATTTAATTCACATCTCAGCCAACTACCAGGGCATGGTTTGATGAGGAAACTAATTTCAAGATAATAATGACAAAGATAGATGATGATTTCCCGTGAAATTATTTTAAAATAACGCTTGCGGCGATGTATTAATTGAGATGCATGAATGCGGCTATTAATATATGTGGATATTTTCTCCCTCGACACCTGTACTAAAGCGACGTCCATGGCTGGTGATCACTCCGGATGGGTTGCTGATGAAATGACAGAGCTGCGGATCGCCTCTGTTCACCATCATCTATGAACCTGTGGTGAACGGCGGCGGCAGCAGCGGACGGCGCTACTCACGGCGGGAGGAGATGCGCGCGCGCAGGGGGGTCCTCATGACCACCGTGAACTCGGTTTTCGCCGACAGATCGACCTCGCCGCCGTCGGCCGCCTCCCATCGGAACTCCCCCACCAGGTTGGCCACGAAGTACTCCAAATGGAGCAGCGCGAGGCCCATCCCGGGGCAGATCCTCCGTCCCACACCGAACGGCATCATCCAGATCTCCTTGCTGCCGGTCATGTCCACTCCCTCCCCTTCGCCTCCGGGAAGGAACCTCTCCGGCCGGAATTCTAGCGGATCCTGCCACTTTTCCCCGTCCAGGTTCATCTTCGCCACTGCGAAGTTGATGCTGGCGTTCTTGGGGATGGTATACCCTCGCACAGAGATCTCCTCCGTGACGGCGTGGGGAAGCACGAAGTGAGCGGGCGGGTGGCGGCGGAGCCCCTCCAGGACCACGGCCTTCAGGTACGGTTTCTTCTGCAGGTCCTCCTCCTTGATGTCCGCACCGACCTCCTCTGCCAGTTTTTCCTGCACGGTAGGGTGCTTGACGACGTTCGCCATGATCCACTCCAGCGCCGTGGAGGTGGTGTCGGTGCCGGCGTCGAGGAACTCGGCGCAGAGAGTGATGATCTCGTCATCGTTGAGCTTCCTCCCCTCTTCCTCCGGGATCTCAAGGTCCAGGAGGGAATCCAAGTAGCAGAAGCGGAAGCTGTTCTTCCCCGGAACCTTAGATTCCTTCCGTTGGCGCCGAGATCTGATCAGAGGGAGAAAGATCTCCCTCTGCCGCTGCCGGAACTGGAGGAGGCGGTTCCACCTTCCCCTGAATAAATACCTACCGAGTTTTGGGGCAATTGCGAAGATATTGAGCTTTCGAATGAAGAGTAAAATATCCTTCTGCGCGGCTTCGATCTCTCTGACGGCTGCCTCCTCGAGCTTTTCTCCGAAGCAGAGGAAGACCAGCAAACAGAACATGGCGAATTGGAATGTCTCCTTGACGATAACAACGCCATCCCCGGACGCTGCCGTGAGGCGGAGTTTGTCGAGGAGGACGCACAGGACCCACTCGCGAGCATCGGCGCACTGCCTGACGCGCGAAGGGTTGAGCATCTCCGTCGCGAGGTTGCGGCGGAGAAGCCGCCACAGGGGGCCGTAACCGGCAGTATTGATGCTGCACTGGCTGAAACCTGGTAAGCGGAGGGCGGGGATGGGGGAAGGTCGACCGGCGAATACGGCCCCGTGCTGGACGAGCATCTCGTGGGCGAGATCCCGGTCCCCGACCATGACGACCGGGATGGAGCCGAGGTGGAGCGTCACGATGTGGCCGTACTTGGACCAGAGATCCCCGAGGACGGACTCAAAGTCGGCCACGGGGAGGGTGAGCCACATGAGATTGCCCAGGATGGGGATGGCCGGCGGGCCCGGTGGCAAACTCCGGGGCGGCCGCCGGAGGAGGAGGAGGGCAGCCAGGGCCAGGCAGAGGAAGAGGGTGAGGACGCCAACGCCCCAGGTTTCCATTTCCGCTGCTCTTCGAGAGAGTTCCAAATTTTTTTATGAGCTCGCTATTCATCATTTATATGGATAAGGAGACCCCCGTCACCCCAGTCTAGACGAGCTACGTGCGAACTTACACCCAGCGAATACGTCTGGGGGATTCCTCAGAGAGCTCCACGGTATCGAATCGAGATCTTTCTCGGTCGCTTTCCTCGTTGCTTGGAGACGGTTTTTACCCATTTTAGATGGCGCTAGCCTTTAGAGGCGGCCAGCCCGAGACGGGAAGTAGTTACGCGCAGCGGACGAAGCAGCCAGAGGTGCTCACGCATCCACGTGTGAGTGCGCTTGACCACGGTTCTTCATGGACGGGCAACACGAGCCTAGTGGGCCATCTCGGTGTCAAATAAAGCCCAAACGCCGAGCACATGAGTTCAAGAAAACAAGAGGCCCAAATATCAAGAGGAGAGGGCCTAAGGAGATTGGGTAAGCAACAAGATGCGAACGACCAAAATGAGATTAAGCACAACATACAACAAGGCTCGAGTCTTTCATTAAGTGTTAGATGAAGGGTGATGGGGTTGAATTGGTCAGATCTAATTTGTTTAATCTTATCTTCTTCTGTTTTCTCCTTTGTTCCTTTTCCAGTTCATCAACCAATCAATGGGCTGCTGTAATTTATAGTGGTCCTGTAGTCTAACTTTCTGTACTCTTCAAAAACACTATACTTTGAGTTCTATTAAGACATTTTAAAATTATTTTTTAATCATGAGATAAGTTTTTATTAATCATTCAAATAGTTAATGATATCCATAAATCAATCAAGCATCTCATCATTGATCTCATTTTCAATTATGGTAAATAATTATTACTTTTGAATCAACTAAAAAATGTTAGAGTCAACTAGTGTAACTCCTTCATAATCACTTGTAATCTATCCAAAATTTTGTTCCCTCATTGAAAAGTCAAAGCTCTATTTAATTCCTTAAGGTTTAATTCACTAAGTAAGAAAATTATCATTTTAGGATTTAAGGATCTGATCTACTCAAATAAATTTATTTGCTATGTGCAGAGGTATTTGATGATACCATTTAGTATTTAGGTCAAGTATTGAATTGATAGATTCTTAATTTTGACTTTTGGTCAACTATTCCAAAGTTTTTTTCCTTGTTTGACCATATTCTTAAGACTTTATTGGTTTTAAATCTAAAAACTATAGGACTTTTTGAAGTATAACATGTTGGCTATGTCTCTTCAAGAACATTCTCATTCTTCGGTTCACCACTTTATTAGACTCAACCATTAATGAATTTAACTTTGAAATATTCTTCTAGATTCACAATCCTAGGAGGGCAGTACATTGTGAAGCTTGATTCTTATTCTTCAACTGATTGTCAGCTTATTGTTTAAATAATAAGGAAGACCCTTCAAATTTACATAGAAGTTTCAACAAAATAATATCAAGAAGACTTGACAAATAGTAGAGGGATCAGAGGTGTTTGTTCAATGTTTGTTGGATGTTAACGTCATTGAATTTATAAATGAATCTTTCTTGAAAAGCTTCTTAGTTTGTACCATCTCTCAACATTTAAATCGAATATATGAGAAACAACTACAAGTTTATACAACAACATTTTTGAAAGTTTAGATATTCTCTATGAGAAACAAATAGATGTTATCATTTATTAATCGAATATATATCTAAAGTTTATCAATTTAAATAAGTCTAATTAAAATTTATTATCATTGAAATAAAATTAATAATATTTTTGAAAATAAAATAATTCTTTTAGTCAAAGCTATTGACGAGAGGAAGAGAAAACCCTAAAATTTATGTATTGAAGAAGAGAAGTACATGAGGTTATATATAAGAGAGGAAGAAAAAGAGAGAGGAAGAAGTGGAGATCATAGAAGGAGAATAGGGATGTGGAGAGAATTAAGTCCAAAATGGGCCTGGTGGGCCTAATGGGCTATTCTAACAAAAACTTATTTAAATCACCTCATAAAAATTATGATTTTAGATTAGACCCACTGAATCACAATCTCAGTATAGAGAATCATAATTTCAATAATATACTATAATTTGAAATATTTTCAAGTGATATTCATTGATATTTATAAAGTCTTGAGCAAAAGTAGTAATTCGACTTCAATGTTGATTATCTAGTGCTTACTGTCTCTAGGGTTCTTCCATCTATAGAAGAGAGAGAGATGTGCAATATGTTGCAGACACTTTGCCTTAAGATGGTTGTCTCTTTTGCCATCTATTAGTTGAGCACTCGTGTACACATGTTGGAGCTTTACATACCTCATCACTTTGCACTCCACTCTATGTTATCCCATCCCAATTGATGCTCCATTGTATGCCAACATTGTCTTGTATTGTGCCACATGAAATTTCTTGTACACATTGCCATGTCTAGTGACATTTACACTATGTGTCACTATACCACGAGACCCCATGCATGCTTATGTAGCCACACAAAGTTGCATCTGTACAGCAGCCATGCAGCATTGTTTGTCTGCACCACCTTTTGCATGCCTACCTTGTACTTCTTGTTGCAGTACAAGTGTACACCATTTGCATAGCACCACTATGTACCAAACCCCCTACACGTGCACCTGAGCCATCCTACATTGCACTAAATTACTGCCATGCTATCTTGTGCTAGCTTTTGTCTATGATGCCCAAAGTTAAAGGAAGGCCCCCATGATCCTTGTTCCATGTCAATGTTGACTATGTTGCACAAATCAGCACACATGCACCCACATGCTCCCACCCACATGCTCCCACCCATGCTATGCTACTCCACGATGGAGCCTCATGAGTGGAGTGCTCCATGTGTGCCATGGCATCCTATATCACACAAAATCCACTCACACTACATACATCAAGATAGACACGTGTGCCATGGCATCCTATATCACACTGAATCCACTTACACTACATACAGCAACAGAAGAAACACGAAGGCCACATTTCCCTAAACAAAAGTGACCCCACCAAAGTTGTGCCATGGCCGCCCTCCCTTACCCTGCTACAGTTTGGTGGTGAAGATGGCCTGATCACTTCTTGTAATGAGAGGGCTGGTCAGCCTAGAACCTCGTTCCTCCGTTCGAGGGTTGTCACACCCCTGCCCATCCCCACTCTCCAATTAGGCAAGAGAGAGAGAGAGAGAGAGAGAGAGGTTGATGTCCCTCTTTGTTGGCCTTTTCCCTCCCTCCACTTTCTCTTCCCTGCCAAACCATCTAACATTTAACTTTGGTTCAGCAAGGCCTATGTGGGCCAATCCCTCATTGGGTTTTCACTTATGACTATTTTCTCTTCAAAAAATAGTCCAGCCCTTTTTCTATAACTTGTATTTAAAGGGAGCTCGAGGAGAGAGAAAGGTGAGAAAAAATAGACAAATCTAGGGCACGAGAAACTCAATCCTCTCCAATGATTGTAACAGAAGTTTTGACTTCAACTTCATCCTCTTTTCTCTCTCTCCTCCACTAGTGGCTGATATTATTACTTCATTAACTCTTTCTTTGTTGTATTCTATTCTTCAAAACTTGTCATTACTCTTTTCTCTGTTAGTTTACTAGTCATGAGGTGTGCTCATCCTCTTTAAATCACAGTAATCAATGTCTTACTTTATTATAGTCCATTCTACATTTTATTATCATTTATATATTAGAAAACTTACTACACTTATACTCTCAAATTTCTACTATGCTAATAGGCTACTTTAAACCCATTAAGATCTCAAGTTTTTCCTAACAAACAAGTATCAAAGCTTCTAGTTAGAGTCTTATTTCAACAAAAATAGAGATACAAGATGTCTACTAAGTTTGATGTTGAGAAGTTTGACTAAAACATTAACTTCAGAATATGGAAGGTTAAGATGAGAGCCCTCTTGACCCACCAAGGGTTACATAAGTATTATTATGAAAAGAAAAAATACCAAACATTATGTCTATGAAAGTAAAATAGGAATTAGATGAGAAAGTTCTTGTTATGATTCAACTTAGTTTGTCTAATAAAGTTCTGCATAAGGTCATTCATGAAACTACAATAGCTGCATTATGGTTGATGTTAGAGTCATTATATATGACCAAATTGCTCACCAATAAAGTATTTCTAAAGAAATATTTCTTCATGCTTAGGATGGGAGAAGGTACACCAATTAAAGCTCACCTTGATGAGATCAATTCTATTTTACTAGATTTAGAAAATATTGATGAGAGAGTAAAGGAAAAAGACTAAGTCATGTTTTTGTTCTATTCCTTACCACCATCATATAGACACTTTCAAGAAACTTTATTATATGGTAGAGATACCATATGTATTGAAAATGTTAAATCTTCTTTAGTTTCAAAAATTTGATTGACAAAGATATAATTGTTATTTTGGAAGGACAGCAACTTGAAGGTCTTATTACTAGAGGTAGAACTAAGGAGAAAAGTTAAGGAGGAAATAGAGGTGAGTCAAGATCTAAATTAAAATCTAAAAATAAGTTTTATAATAATTATTACAAGACGAGACATGTGAAAGCTGACTATTATAAACTCAAGAGAAAGTAAGAAGACTCCAAAGAGTTTATCATGTTGAAAGTTCAACATATGCTAGTGTTGCCAAAGACGAGACTCATAATTTTATTTTTTCTATTCATACCATCAATTCCAAAAATGATTGGATCTTAGATACAAGTTGTTCATACCATATGACTCTTCATGAAAAGTATTTTTTCACTTATAAACAGATCAATAGTGAAAACGTCTTAATGGGAAATGATGCCTCATGTAAGATTACTAGTATTGGCACAATTCATATCAAAATGTTTGATGGTATCACACGAATATTATCTAATGTCGGGCATATTCCAATTTGAAGAAAAATTTTATTTCTTTGAACACTCTTGAAGCTAATGACTACAAATATTCAAGTGAAAATGGGGTCATAAAAGTCAGCAAAAGGGCCCTTGTTGTGATGAAAGAACAAAGATGTGGCACTCTCTACACTTCATTAGGGACCACTATTTCTAGTTCAATCACTGCAACATTTACCTCAATGACAGAAAAAGATGTCAACAAATTGTGACATGTGAGCACGAAAAGAATGGATCTATTAAGCAATAAAGGCTTACTTTGTTGATGAAGTACTAACAAGGTTGAATTTTGTGAGCATTATATTTTAGGTAAGCATAAAAGAGTTAGCTTCTAGATGACAACTCACAAGACAAAAGGTACTCTTGATTATAACCACTCATATCTTTGGGGTTCCTCTTGCATCCTTTTAAAAGTTGTTGCTCCTTATTTTCTATCATTTATTGATGATTTTTCTCAAAAAGTTTGAATATTCATGCTTAAACATAAATATAAAGTTTTTATGTATTTTAAATAATGAAAGGTTTTTCTCAAAAGACAAATTAGAAAGAAAATCAAAAGGCTGAGGATTGGCAATGGTTTATAGTTCTACTCCACCAAATTTAATGATTTCTATACAAATGAAGGTATTGTCAAGCACAAAACAATTTGTTATACTTAGTAAAATAGAGTTACAGAAAGAATGAATAAAACTTTACTAAAATAAGCCCGTTGTATGTTATTATATGTAGGTCTAAGTTAAGACTTTTGAGTAGAAGCAGTGTTTACAGCTTGTCATCTTGTGAACAGATTGTTGATATCTTTGGACATAGATTTTGATATTATAATTATATGAGAAAATATATAATTTATGTTTGACATTGTTTACAAAATTATCATAAATGTCTCATAGTTTTCATGTAAATAAATATATTATTTATCTTGTGACATTATGGCTAACCTTGAGATTAAGTGAATTAATGAATATGTGAATCACCACATATATATGGATAAATATCATTAAAAGCACCACATAAATAAATGTCTGCAACTATTATTTCTTAGTCACGTGCATCATTAAAAGAAAAGAAAATGGTTTGAAATATCAAGTGAGCTCTTGTGAGTGTCGAACCGGAAATCTGGACAAGGACACGTCAGCTGCTTTCGTGGAGTAAACGACCAGCTTAATGTTCGAGTCTGAAGATGAAGTCCAAAAGTTGTTCTTATTTGAGAGACTAATCTCCAGTTCAAATTTACAATCGAACAGACTAGCTAATAGAAAGATAATGAATTCGCAATGGTCAGAGGTCGTTGCCGCGCGTTTCGGAAAACGATAAGTATTTGAACTGACTTTCTGATTTTATCTCTTGAGCAAAATGCAGAAACCCGTTGGAAGGCGACGCCCTACAAGGAAAGGAAGCTGGGGAAATCAACAACAATGATTCCACTTCGATCTACTACGAGTTATCTCTCTCACGATCAAGAATCATCACCGCCGAACTTCAACCGCAAGCAAACTGCATCATCCTTCTTCAGCAACGATTGGTGACCAAGATAAAGCTTGAATCTTTCAAGGAGGCTCTCCATCAGGCCCTAAGGTAACTGGGTAGTGATTGGAGAGTGATTTTGGGCAGATGCACGAGGTGCTCTAAGCCCCATTTGGCTCGGAAGGGGCTGGATCTCTGCTGAGGTCAAACCTGAGGTATTGGACTGCTGATCTCATTAATTTCAGTGTGTATTTCCGAGGGAAATAATGGAATTCGAAGGAAGGATATTCCAGGACATGAAGTAGCCAAGTGAGGGGGGAACTAGTATAAAAAGTTCTTGTCTCATAATGAGAACCCATCGAAGGAGAGAGAAAGTAATCATGCACGTAGATAATCACGCAGAGCTGTGTTAACATATGTGTTGACACATCTACTATTCAAGAAGAAAATCTGAGATTTGTAAAATATCAATTCATCCCCCCTCTTGGTATTTTGCCTAGCCTTTAAATCTTTCACAGATCTCCAGCCTCTGCCATTAACTTCAAAGCTCTTGAAGAAAGTATGGGCAAATAACCATCTTGATTATTCAGACTTAAAAATCTTTGGTTGTCTAGCATATATATCCATGTAAATGACGGCAAGCTGGAGCCTAGAACTAAAAGTGTATCTTCTGCAGTTATACTTCTAAAGTCAAAGGATATAAGTTATGCTTCCAAATCAGGTGGAGTTAGATATATCTGATTCACATAAGATACATTTCCAATAAGAACATATTTTAGTGTCTGACACACATCCTATGAAAATATCTCCACAAAACTAGAATTACCCTCTTCCTTGTGATTGGTCAAGGGGAGATACTAAGCCACTGTTAAGATATGGACATGCTGATATGGTTGCTTATCCATTGACCGTTAGTGAATAAACTTTAGACCTAAATGAGTCTTCCAAGTTTTCAAATGGTATATCTTGTGAGGATGTAGACAAGTGACTAGTTGCTATGGAAGATAAAATTTAATCTCTCCATAAAAATCAAACTTGGGAGCTGGTGGAGGCTCCCAAAAGATAGAAAGTCACTAGCTGCAAATGAGTTTTCAAGAAGAAAAGAGGTACTCTAAACTCTAATGATGTTGGATACAAGGCACAGTTAGTTACAAAAGATTATAGTCAGGTCGAAGGTATTGATTATAATGATATCTTTTCTCCTATTGTTAAGCATAACTCTATATGTGTTATGTTATATATTGATGCATCATATAATTTAGAGTTAGAATAAATAAATGTTAAAATAGTTTTTCATCATGACAATCTTGAAGAACATATTTCTATGTAGCAACCAAAAGGTTTTCTTGTTGTAGAAAAAGAGAAGTATGTTTGTTTGCTGAAGAAATCTCTATATGACCTCAAACAATCTCTCCAACAGTGGTATAAGAGATTTGATGTATTTATGACACAACATGAATTCTCTTATAGTAAATTTAACAATTGTGTTTATTTTAAAAAGTTGTCAAATGATCTATTTCTTCATTTGCTGTTTTATGTTGATGATATATTGATTGCAACAAAAGATATATCTGAAATTAGTAAATTGAAAGCTTTACTCAATAGTGAGTTTGAGATGAAAGATTTGACAACAGCCAAGAAAATTCTCAGAATGAAGATTTGTATAAGTTGAAGTGAAGGTAAGATGTACTTATCCCAAGCTAAGTATATTGAGAAAGTACTTAAATGCATAAATAATGGGATGCTAAACCTATTCATACTCCTGTTGCTGCTCATTTCAAGTTTTCAAATTCTTTATCACCGTAGTCTCCAACATATGAAAAATTTATGTCACATGTTCTATACTCTAGTGTGATGTATGCCATATATACATTCATCTTGATATATCGCATGCAATTAGTATAGTTAGCTACTATATGACTAATCCAAGTAAAGCACATTGACATGTTGTTAAGTAGATTTTCAAGTACTTGAGAGATATTATTGATACATGTTTACAATTTGAGAGAGCAAATGATACTTTGACTAGATTTATTGATTCAGATTTTATGAGAGATCTTAATAAATAGAGGTCACTAATTAGAAAACTTTCCTACAGCTTATTGTTACTTTATCCACAATTTATGACACTTACAGAGGCATTAAAAAAAGCTATATAGTTAAGAGATTTATTCTCTAAACTATGTTCATGTCAAGATTTAATTATTGTCTATTGTGATAGACAAAGTGTTATTTATTTGACCAAAGATCAGATGTATCACAAAAAGACAAAGCATATTGACATCAAGTATCATTTTCTTTGTGATATAATTTCCTCATGTGAAATTAACGTGTAGAAGATTACTACTAAAAACAATTTAGTTGATATGTTAACAAAACCTCTTCCCATTTCAAAGTTCCAACATTATTTAAACCTGATTGGAGTTCACATCACTTAAATCTAACCTTTTTTTTTCTTTTTTGGGAGAATATATACAACTATATTCCCTTCTATAGTAGTCATGAGAAGCTGATAGAGTTTTCAGTATGAAGGTTTAAAGATCACTGTGATGTCTAAGTCAAGGTGGAGATTTGTAAGGGTGACTTGGTCATCCTTCATTCAGCAAGGCCAATGTAAGCCACGTCCCTCTTTACTGAGCTTTCACTTATGACTATTTTATCTCCAAAAAATAGTCCAACCCCTTTTCTATAACCTATATTTAAAAGGAGCTCGAAGAGAGAGAAAGGTGAGAGGAAACAAATAAATTTAGAACACATGAAACCCAATCCTCTCCAGCTACTACAATAGGAGTTCCGACTTCATCTCCCTCCTCTTTTCTCTCTATCCTTCACTGGTGGCTGCTATTATCACTTCATTAACTCTGTTTCTGTTATATTCTATTCCTCAAACTTTGTTATTACTCTCTTCTCTATTGGTTTACTGATCGTGATGTGTGTTTATCCTCTTTTGACCACAATAATCAAAGTCTTACTTTATTATAGCCCATTCTATATTTTCATTATCATTTATATATTAGAAGACTTACTGTACTTGGACTCGTAAGTTTCTGCTATGTTGATACACCGGTCTAGGCCCATTAAGATATTATTTCAAGAACTATTTCATAACAATAAGTTCGGATAACCTGAAATGTGGACGACTTACAGCCATGTACGCACCTACAGTGGTGCCTGGGTTCAGCGGCGGTGGCAGCAGCGGGCGGCGCTACTCACGGCGGGAGGAGATGCGCGCGCGCAGGGGGGTCCTCATGACCACACTGAACTCAGTTTTCGCCGACAGATCGACCTCGTCGCCGTCGGCCGCTTCCCATCGGAACTCCCCCACCAGGTTGGCCACGAAGTACTCCAAATGGAGCAGTGCGAGGCCCATCCCGGGGCAGATCCTCCGTCCCACACCGAACGGCATCATCCAGATCTCCTTGCTGCCGGTCATGTCCACTCCCTCCCCTTCGCCTCCGGGAAGGAACCTCTCCGGCCGGAATTCCAGGGGATCCTGCCACTTTTCCCCGTCCAGGTTCATCTTCGCCACTGCGAAGTTGATGATGGCGTTCTTGGGGATGGTATACCCTCGCACAGAGATCTCCTCCGTGACGGCGTGGGGAAGCAGGAGGTGAGCGGGCGGGTGGCGGCGGAGCCCCTCCAGGACCACGGCCTTCAGGTACGGTTTCTTCTGCAGGTCCTCCTCCTTGATGTCCGCACCGACTTCCTCTGCCAGTTTTTCCTGCACGGTAGGGTGCTTGACGACGTTCGCCATGATCCACTCCAGCGCTGTGGAGGTGGTGTCGGTGCCGGCGTTCAGGAACTCAGAGCAAAGGGAGATGATCTCCTCGTCGTTGAGCTTCCTCCCGTGCTCATCCGGAATCTCGAGGTCCAGGAGGGAATCCAAGTAGCAGAAGCGGAAGCTGTTCTCCCCCCGAACCTTAGATTCCTTCTGTTGGCGCCGAGATCTGATCAGAGGGAGAAAGATCTCCCTCTGCCGCTGTCGGAACTGGAGGAGGCGGTTCCACCTTCCCCTGAATAAATACCTGCCGAGTTTTGGGGCAATTGCGAAGATATTGAGCTTTCGAACGAAGAGTAAAATATCCTTCTGCGCGGCTTCGATCTCTCTGACGGCTGCCTCCTCGAGCTTTTCTCCGAAGCAGAGGAAGACCAGCAAACAGAATATGGCGAATTGGAACGTCCCCTTGACGATAACAACGCCATCCCCGGACGCCGCCGTGAGGCGGAGTTTGTCGAGGAGGACGCACAGGACCCACTCGCGAGCATCGGCGCACTGCCTGATGCGCGAAGGGTTGAACATCTCTGTCGTGAGGTTGCGGCGGAGAAGCCGCCATAGAGGGCCGTAACCGGCGGTATTGACGCTGAACTGGTTGGAACTGAGGATGCGGAGGGCGGAGGACTGGGGAGGCCGATCGGCGAAGACGGCCCCGTGCTGGACGAGCATCTTATGGGCGAGATCCCGGTCCCCGACCATGACGGTCGGGTGGGAGCCGAGGTGGATTGTCACGACGGGGCCGTACTTGGACCAGAGATCTCCGAGGACGGATTCGAAGTCGGCGGCAGAGCGGGTGAGCCACATGAGATTGCCGATGATGGGGATGGCCGGCGGGCCGGGTGGTAACGCCCGGCGCGGTTTCCGGAGGAGGGCGGCCAAGGCCAGGCAGAAGAAGAGGGTGAGGACGCCAACGCCCCAGCTATCCATATCCCCTGCGCTTTGAGCAAGTTCCCAGAAGTTTATGACCCCTTACAATAATAACGGAGGGGAAGCCCGGCCCCATCTACTCCCTGGACGAGGTATATCAACTTCCAAACGATAAATACGTCTGCGCGAAAGCTGAGAAGAGCGTAGTATCGAGTGAGTACGTTTATTGGTCTCTTTCCTCGTCGGTTATAGGCGAGACGACCAATATGGTGCACCCGGGGCCTAGTATTTAATGTACGAATATTTCTTATTTTTTGTCTTTATTAGGCCTTTCTTTTGTTGTTTAGTGGGCTAAATTATTGTCTTTAGTGGGCCATAAGTGTCCAGTCTATTTAATGTAAATACTCCTCTCTCTTTATTTTAAAATATGAAACATTTTGTCCTTCTCTAGGGTTCGTGAGTGTTATGAATCGTTTATTTTCTTCCTCTCTCTCTCGTCCATTTTTTTCTCTAAAATCATTATTTTTTGTTACATATTTATTCTTTTATTTCCTACAAGTGATATCATAGCACTATGTTTGAATATTGGGTGTTCTTTTTTTTTCTGTGGGGAGATCAGCAACAATGAAAGAGGAGAAAATCAAAGTTTGTGAAAAGTATTTAGAGTTTTTTGAAGATTTCTTACCATAGCAAATATTTTGAATATTGAAATCATCATTTACGTGGAGAGTAATTGTCCTAACAATGAGATGATGAATGGTAATCCTCTAAACTTATCACAGTCTCTTGCTATATTTTTTAATGGAGAGAAATATGATTTTTAGAGTATTAAAATAAAGATATTTTTTATTTCTCAAGACTTATGAAAATTAGTACAAATAAGGAATGAGAGACTTCAAGATAAGAAAATAAAGAATTTCAAAAAAAGGAGACTAAAGCATTATTAGTTTTTCAACAATCAATTTCAGAAGTCATTTTTCCACGAATTGCTAATGTATCAAGTTGATTTGAAACATAGAAAATTTTGAAAGATGAATTTCATGGTGATAGTATTATTATGAATGTGAAGTTTCAAACTCTTCGTCGAGAATTGAAAATATTTTTATGAAATTAGATGAATCAGTACATGATTTCTTTCTAGAGTTGTTGTTATTATAAATCAAATGAGAATATTTGGTGAAGATATTTCTGAAAAAAGAATTGTTGAAATTTTTTTAAGAAGTTTGCTTATAAATTTGATCATATTATTATTGTCATTGAACAATCTAATGATTTATCTATTTATATACAAAATGAACTGGTTGAAGCATTGTTAGCACATAAAGAATGAACTAATAGACAAAAAAAATTCTATTGAACAAGCATTCTAAGCAAAAGTTGAAACTTCAAAGAATGAGAAAAATAGTGAAGGTACATCTACACAATGAGGACGTGGTAGAAGACACTATCAAAATAGATATAAAAAGGATGAGTAAGATCAAACAAGGGAAAGGGATATGAAAAAGATGAAATAACAAAAGAGGAAGTCATTACTAGTAGTAACGACTTGTCATGATCCATTGGTTCATATAGAATCCATGTCCTAAGTCTATCAATTTTGCTAACAATATATAATAAAATAGAGTGAAAAGGTCCACCCCGAAACCAAGGGAGTAGTAACTTAAAGCTGAGTCCTCTCTGAACTGCAGGAGATTATTGCCCATCATATAGATCACCAACAGCACTTGCCTCTAAGGGGGGCTCTCGCTCTAGGTGGGTTTGGATCACTTAAAATACACGACTCTACCGAGCGTTTAGGAGCCTTTCTTTGTCGAGATGAAAAAGGAACTTCTTTTCAACTGGGAAATGTGAGTTTGTTTTTTCCACTTTATCTATCCCCCTCACAAAAATGATAAAAAAAAGGAAGGCAAGCTTGCACATCTTTGATCTTTTCTATCTCTACCTCGCTTCCATGCGGGCAGAGAAGAGACCCCACCATGGAAGAAGACATGGTAGATCATATTATGGGCAGCAAAGAAATGATAGAAGAAATCAATAAAATCAAAAACTAAATTACAAAATTATGAAATGTCATTTTTGCAAGAAATATGGTCACAATAAAGCATATTGTTATGAAAAGGCAAAACAACAAGAAAATATGAGAGAAGGGAATTCTAAACTAATATATAATTTTTTCAAGAAGTATGGTCATATTGAAGTAAATTGTTAAGACAAGAAAAAGAGCAAGCAAATATTGTTGAAGAAAATGATCAAAATAAGTTGTTTATCACTAATGTTTCTTCAAGCTCAAGTACATCAAATATATGACTTATTGATAGTACTTGCAGAAATTATTTGATAGGTGAAAAGGATTTATTTCAGAATATATGAACACCTCTATGATTTGTGCTGCTACTATTGGTGATGGAAATAGTGTGAAAATTAAAGACATTAATATTATTATTATTCATACTAAATCAGGGGCAAATATATTAATTCATAATATTTATTTTGTTCTAAAATTGGGACATAATTTACTTAGTGTGGGTCAATTATTAGAATGTGGCTTTATTGTTCATTTTGAAGATGATAGATGTGTTATCAAGCATAAGAAGAGTGGCATGGCTCCAATAATGATTCTTAAAGTTAGAAAGATGATATTTTCTGATGATATTTCGAGACTTATTGATTTTAGCATTATCACAAAAGAAAATGATTTATCTTCACTTTGACATATGTGTTATGGTCATTTAAACTTTAATACATTGAAATTACTACATCACAAGCATATGGTTGTTGGTTTACCTTCTATTTCAACAAATGGCAAAGTATGTGACAGATGTGTTTATGACAAACAACATCGATTATTATTTCCTATTGACAAATCATGGAGAGCAAGGTTTTCTCTTGAATTATTACATGCTGATTTTTATGGTCTAATGAGGACATTATCTTTGAATGGTAGTCAATATTTTTTATTGATTATTGATGACTTCACATGTATGAGTTGGGTCTATTTTATTTCTCATAAATCTGAAGCATTTGAGAAGTTTATTCATTTCAAGACTTTTGCTGAAAAATCAAGTGGACATGTTATTAAAACTCTTCGAACAGATCAAGGGAGAGAATTTATTTCTCATGAGTTTGAGTTATTTTGTAAAAAGCATAGAATTGAAAGGCAAGTGACTATTAAAAAAACTCAAGAGCAAAATGGTATTGCTGAAAGAAAGAATATAACTATTATGAAAATGGCTAGAAGTATGCTTAGTGAGAAACATACTCCTAATGATTTTTGGTCTGAAGCCATTGCAACTTCTATTTATCTTTTAAATATTTCTCCTACAAAAGCTTGGTATCATTGAAAACCTAATGTTGATCATTTAAAAAATTTGGTTGCATATCTTATGCTTTAATTGATGTTGATGATCGTAGTAAGATGAAAAAAAAAGAGTGAAAAATATATTTTCTTAGATATAGTGATGAGAGTAAGAGTTATCAATAATATAATCTTGAAACAAAAAGATTATTGATTTATCCTAACATCATATTTCTGAATATGCTTGCTGAAATTAAAATGTAGATCTAATTCATTAATTTTTTTCTTGTGGAAATGGGCAAGAAATTTGTAAAATGGTGAAGATTCAATAGGCGAAGCTTCTACTTCATGTGTCACACCTTCAAGGTCTTCTTCAAGAAATGCAAGTGGTATTAATGGCCAAAATGATTCCATTTCAGAATCATCAAGTCCTTATCGAAAGATGAAATCTTTATGTGATATTTATGAATCATGTGTTTTTGCTCTTATAATTGTAGAACCAACAAGCTATGAGGAGACACAAGGCAAAGATGAATAGAAGAAGGTAATGCAAGAAGAAATTACAACAATTGAGAAGAATGGCACATGGGAGTTGATTGACTTACCACAAAAGATAAAAGCAATTACAGTCAAGTGGGTTTACAAAGTGAAGTATAAACTAGATGGCAATGTTCAAAAATACAAGATAAAGTTAGTAGTTAAGGGATATACACAACAACAAGGTATTGATTACTTTGAAATATTTTCTCCAGTTGCAAGATTTAAAACAGTTTGTATTGTTTTAATTGTGGCAGCTCAAATGAAATAGAAAGTTTTTCAATTTGATGTTAAATCAATATTTTTTGAATGGTTATTTGAATGAAGATGTATATGTTTGGTAATTATAACTTACATATATGTATTAATATCTTATATACATATGTTAATTAATGGGTAGATAATATTATTATACATATGTTATCAACTCTTTATGACATTTATAATATTTTATTATTTAAGTCCTAATGTATATTAGTATATTTATTTTATTTATATTATGAAACTAACCCTACTTAGCTTTTACGAAGTCAAGTTTTGATTCTCTCACATTTTCTTGATAATTATTTAATTACGAGGACTTAGGTGAGCTCTTATTATGAGTTGAAAGTAATAAAAGAAGCCGAAGCCTTTAACCCAATGAAAAGCCCAACACTTATGGAGAGAGCCACCTTAATATATTTATGGGTTCAAAAGAGCGCGTCACTTTGGCTTAGCCCATTTTGACTTAAAAAGGCTACCAAGAGATAAGATCTAGACCATCTATCTTAAAGCGACTTAAGATGAAATAAAAAGAAGGATTAGAGCGTCACCCTCATAGAATGATTTGGGCCGTCCACCAATAGTCAGTTATTAATCTTAATCGTCAAATAGAAGGGCCTAACTCTCGAAAGGATTAAGGCATTTCGTCCCCCTCTAGAAGGTGCTTTTTGGCTCTGTCTCTAGCACTAGTTAGCTGAAGAAAACAAAAGGAAAATCAAGGCTTGATCAAAGATATTCTCATGCCCAAGATTATCATGGAGAAGAGATTACTTAGAGCACATTAAGATCATCACGAATCAAAGATCAGTCGGCCTAAGACTAACACACAATGATCCAAATTTAGGGCGTCCTTGTAATCCTCTCCATAGATAGATTAACTTTTAATTCAAACTAGTTTTACCATGTATTTTATCATTTCATTGTGTTAAATTTTTTCTCTCTCCTTTGTCATGTTTTTTATAACTCTTGTCTTTGCCCTTTTTACATTTAGTTCCACCCTTCACAATTGCAAATATATATATGTAAGAAATAAAAAAGGTAGAATTCTTACTCTCATTACTCATGTTACTTGAGGATCAACTCTTACTTATCCTAAATAGAAGAGTGGGTTTTATAAATATTTTTGGCATGAACTTGGTTACATCATAACAACATATTTAACCTTCAATTCGAGTTCATCAATGTTGAGTAACCACCAGCTTTTATTCTTGAAGGAAGAGAGAACAAAGTGTATAAATTGAAGAAGTCACTTTATAACCTTAACAAGCACCAGGAGTATGGTCTAGTAGACTTGATTCATATTTTCTTATGTATCACTTTTATAGAAGTGAAAATAAGCCAACACTTCATATCAAGACTCAAGATAAAGATATTTTGATAGTATATGTTTATATTGATGATATTATATATACTAAATTTTCTTTGTCACAAATTTCATATTTTAAGAATGGTATGATACCTGAATTTGATATGACAAATTTAGGATTACTTCATTACTTTCTTGGAGTTCAAATTATTCAAAATGATCATGGTATATTTATTTCACAAGAAAAATATATATGTGACTTACTGAAAAAGTTTAATATGTTTCATTAAAAGACTTGCTCTACTCTTATGAATATAAATGATAAATTATGTCTTGATGATAGGACTACAAAAACAAATGAACACTTCTATAGAAGTATTGTTGGTGGTTTGATGTATTTGACTCATACTCATCTAGATATATTATTTTCAATTGGTATGATTTCAAGATTTATGCATTCACGATCTGTTCATCATCTTAGAGCAGCAAAAAAAATACTTCAATATGTGTGTGACACTATTAATTATGGAATTCTATATCAACTTGTTACTGAATTTATTTTTTTTGGTTATTCAAATAGTGATTGGGCAGGTTCTATTGATGATAGAAAAGTACAAGTAGTTTTTATTTCAGCTTTGGTTCAAGTGTAATCTCATAAATTTCTAAGAAGCAAGAATCTACAGCATTATCATGTTCTAAAGCTGAATATATTGCTGCATCGGCTACATAACAAGCAATATGGATGAGAAGGATTTTACAAGATATCAATATTCCACAATCAATGTCTACAGTGATCTATTGTGACAATGTGTCAACTATTTCTATGATGAAAAATCTAATATTTCATGAAAGAATAAAACATATTGAGATAAGGCACAATTTTATTCGAGATTTAGTTGCCAAAAAAATTATTGAAATGAAATTTTATTCAATATTGGATCGTGACAAATGATTTTACGAAGGCACTAGGACATACTAAACTTGTGAAATTTAGAGAAGCTCTTGCTCTTAAACATTTTTGCATTAAAGGGGAGTGTTAGTATTTAATACAAAAATATTTCTCATTTTTTGTCTTTGATAGGCCTTTCTTTTGTTGTTTAGTCAGCTAAAGTTGTCATGTCTTTAGTGGGTCATAAGTGAACAGTCTATTTAATGTACATGACTATAAATATTCTTCTCTCTCTTTATTTTAAAATATGAAATGTTTCATCTTTTTCTAAGGTTAGTGAGTGCATGAAGCATCCCCTTTCTCCCTCTCTCTATTGTCTATTTTTCTCTCTAAAATCATTATTTTCTGTTGCAAGTTTATTCTTTATTTCCTACACCCACTTTGTCCCAGCCATCAAAAAAGGCTAGGATCATGGTTGTACAATGAGCCCTAAATTCTGGTCCACACAATATGAGCCCACATGTCATAGAGCTCTGATAAATCTATCTACTTTTACAACCATGTGTCAACTTCGCACTTTACTCAACTAACGACATGTATTCCTAACTCTTTAGAATCATATAGCTTGAAAAGAATATCATCCCTCACTATAAGACACACCACCTTATGAGAGAGTATCCTTAAATCTTCATAATTATTCATACAATTAACGAGGTCATTATGTTATGGTAGTTACCACCCCACTAGCTAATGTAATTGTCACCCTAATCATCCATCAAGAGGAGACCCATATGTATGTATGCAACAATTATGTTTTCTACATGGGTCGTGTTGTGTCTACCTTATGTCACACTATGCCAATACACGTTGAATGTTTGTGTTTCACCTATGTGGTTCATAGACAACTTATATGAATCATGCTCCTATTTACCAATGTTTTCTACTTAATCCTTCTATTGTTGTGGAAGTCCACACATGTGACGTAGATCTTTGTGTGTCATACTAGGTCATTTTGTGTCTTTGTATGCATTATGTAACTTTTTTCATGCAAGAATCTCCTCTACATGTGTAATGTTGTGTTGTGTCGCAGCAACATGTTTTCAATGCACATATCCACACAAACAACCATACAATTTTATGTAAAGTAAGAGATTATATGATTGGGACCTCAGTATTTCACATATGGGGTGTCATATTCATCCCTTGTGATGAATTCAATGTCTTCAGCAAAGGGTTTATAGTGAAGTACATGTTGATGATATTTTTGAACTATTATAAGTTGATGTCATGTCATATTACATGCTCTTCTTTCATTTGTGTTGATTTTGGTAGTCAACTAGAAACATATGATAAGTGATGCACATTAAGAATGATTTCTCTCTTCATCCTTACTATCAACCAAATAAAGTTTTAAGTGAGAAATGTAGGAGGATGGCTAGCCTCTTTGTTATTTTGAAACAATAAGATAGCTTATCTATATGCGTCACAACTTCAAGGCATCAACCCACAACAACACTTGGTCTATTTGATACTACTGTACACCCAATGGTGAGCTACAATAATATGTGATTATCAATGTTGAATTTTACTTTGAATCAATGACAATCTACATTCTTCTTCTTTCAATAAATTGTACACAAACACCTCACATACCTCCTTTATGTATGTTTAGCACACCTATGTAAATTTGAGCCTCTCTACATAGTGTGGTGATCAAGCATTAGCTTTATTAGTACTAATAGTTGTTACCCGATGAATAACTCAAATCTTCACCAAGTTATCATAGAAGTTGTAAGAGAATTGGACAAAAGTTAGTTCGTCAATCAAATTCTCTTCATTGACTACAACATGATGTTTCAAGTTCTCTTTTAATATATCATTAATATGCTTTAGCTTGTTGTCAATCTATAACTAAATGTTCATCAAGAACATTAGCAAGGTGTTTCATTTGTGTGACAAGGCTTAATTAAAAATTACCAGTGAACCATAGATCTTGATCTCCAATAATGTCCTATGGTAAGACTTACAATTTCACCACATTTACCATGAAGAGGCGTGTCACATGTTCTTCTAAGTCTTTCATCTGTGTTACCACTAAAACTTTGAAGAAGCAATTGATGACAACAATAATTTTCTTATGTCCCTTTAACTTGAGTAGGCTTATTATTAGTTATATTGATAAGGGCTTCTATGATAAGTGCAAAATAGGCGGCCACTCTAGCATAGTTACTACGTTGATGTATTCCATATGATCATGTTGGTACACGAAGTGAAGACCAAATGTACACCTCTACATCTTAGTCCACGTAGTGCTAATACTAGATATTAGATAGTAACATGAGCATATAGTCTTGTCTAAATTGGTACAGGACTCATCATGCACCTCTCACAGCAAATAATAGTATAACTTTCTATACATGTAGAGGACTTCATCCTTTAGAATCATGTCCTTTACTAATGTCATTAGGTTCACCTCATACTACCTATAGTCGGGGCCTCAACCAACCACCACTTGGCCCACCCAACTTGTCTTTAAGAGTGGCAGTGTGAATTTTGTAGAAAATCTTGACATCGAGACTACTATTAAATGAGCTCCTATGGTATTTTTAAATAGCTACACACCACATTATTATTGTACAATAAAATGGCTGACTAAGAGGCAATAACATTACACTCTCAAAAAGTAGACCATGACTGTCATCTTTGGACCATACATAGAGTAGCACAATTCTATGTCATTGAACTCTAATTGTATGTCATAATCTTATGTTACAAGTATGTATAAATAAAGAGATTTTAGCAACATGACAATATTGTAGAAGTACTATATAATTTATGTTTGCCTACATCCTATACTATTAGTTTAGCTTTGAACTTATCACTTATTCTATTAATAATTCTTTTTTAAAGACTCTTTCTCATCACAAAAAAATTGATTATAGTTAGTATTTTTATGCAATCAATAGAAAATAATAGTTATAGTTTTTAGTCCAAGTTTTTATGTAGGAGGTGTAAATAACATATGTTAGTTGCTCTATATATAAAGGCATATAACAAATAAATAATGAACTCAGATATTTCTTTCCTCATATAGTTTCTCTCACTTTTTCAATTCTATAATAATGTGACATAAGAAAGTTGATATTAGAGGTGTTCCATTTGGAATCAGTGGTATCATAATATTAATAAAATCTTGTCCTCAAATCACTTTTTACACGTGTCATTTATGTGCCCGGAAGTATTTCCCTATTGACTTATGTTGAGAATCACTACGACAATCTTTTTGACGGCTACTTCATCCACTACCATGTCCATGACACATGCAAGAAGATTTGTTACGTGTGACACAAGTTAAGAATAGTACTCAATTAACATCAAAACTAGCAAACAATCTTGTGGATGGAACATGTATTTAAATAATTTCTTGTAGAGGGTTCAAGGGCTTGTAAGGCAAACAATCTTGAGGATGGAACATGTATTTAAATAATTTCTTATAGATGGTTCAAGGGCTTGTAAGTTAATAGAGGTGGAATCCATCAGCATCATGTGAGACAACTCAAGCTACTAGCCATTTAGAGACAAGAAGTACTTCTAGTCAATCCACCGTAGACAAGTAGAGGGTGGAATGGCTGATGGGCATGACCCATTTCTTCCTCCCCTCTCTGCTCGTACCATCAACCGTTGAGCCATTGACATGTTGAAATATCAACATTTTTGGCAACCAACCATGGCCATGGCCTGCCTAATGCTGCAACAACCAACGATTTTTTCTAACAACAATGTCAGCATCAGTATTTGCGGCAACCAATCATGGTCATGGCATGTCTATACCAGTGACAACAAATGATTCATTCTAGCAATAATGTCGAGATCAGCATTTTTGGCACATTGATCTCATGATAGATCAGAACCATAATAACGTTGTCCCTAAAAATTTTAAAAGACTAGGTGTGAGTACACCAAGGATCCTCAGGTCATCATGAATAGTATCATTCATGAGAAAGGCCAATTAATGCATGTGATCCCTACCATTAGTCCTCTAGGAGGTAAAACCATGTGAGTTCTTACAACCATGTGCCAACTTCACACATTACTCAACTAATGACATGCGTTCGTAACATTTAGAATCTTATACATTGAAAAGAATATCATCCCTCACCATAAGTCACACCACCTTATGAGAGAGTGTCTTTAAATCCTCATAATTACTCATACAATTAACAAGGGTTTTTATGTTCTGATAGTTACCACCCCACTAGTTAATATAATTGTCACGCTAACCACTCATCATCAGGAGACACATGTGTATGTATGTAACAATTGTGTTGTGTCTACCTTATGTCACCCTATGCAAATGCACATTGAATGTTTGTGTTTCATCTATGTGGTTCATAGACACCTATGAATCATGCTCCAATTTAGCAATGTTTTCTACTTAATCTCTTGCTGTCGTGTAACTCCACACATGTGACATAAATCTTTGTGTGTCATACTAGGCCATTTTGTGCCTTTGCATGCAAGAATCTCCTCTACATGTGCAATGTTATGTTGTGCCGCAGCAACATGTCTTCAATGCACATATCTACACAAAGGACCATACAATTTTATGTCAACAAAGAGATTACATGATTGGAACCTCATTACTTTACATATGGGGTGCCATATTCTCCCCTTGTAACAAATTCAACATCTTCATCAAAGGGTTTGTAGTGAGGTACATGTTGATGATGTTTTTGAACTATTATAAGTCAATGTCGTGCT